AGATTCTTGTAGTGTAGTAGTGTCCAGGGCAGCAAATGGTGCTACCCACTGGGTGGCCCAGGCTTATCTTCATGGCAGTCCTTTCCTTGATTGGATCTCACACCCTCCTGCTCTTCGTAGTTTGGTTAGAGTTGGTTAATTTTGATTTGTATTAGCTTGGCTGTTTAGCCCTGTTTCCTCATTTTCTCTGTTCAAAAAATAAAAAATAAAAAAAATGTTACTGTCTTGTTTCAAATTTCGGAGCATCTCTCTCTCACACACGCACTAGAAGAAAAGAAGTGTATAGTATAAAATAGAGATCTCCAGGGTCAGGGGACCTAAAAAAAAAATGTGGAACGTTAGGTGCAGTATGATCTAATCCCAAAACACGAGTGTTGATTAAAGTCAATAAGACATGTTTAATTGATAGGATTATTAATTCGTAAGCCTAATAATTCTCTGTTTATTTTGAAATTTTGTTTCAGAATTATTAATCCTACAAATTTGTAAGATTATTAGTAATGAGGTAGGGATGAGATTATATATCCTGAGTTGAGAAATAAAATAAAAAGACTCTTTTATCTTTGACTAAAAATTAAAATACTTATTATTTTTATATAATTTTATATTTTAGAAGGCTAAAAATAATTTTTAAAAATTTAAAAATATTTTTTGATATTTATTTTATCAAATTAGTTTATATTTAAAAAAAATTAAAAAACAAACCAAACATGACCTTTATATTTTATATTTTTATTTTTGCTTTTATTTATTTATTTATAAATTTTTTCAAAATCAAGTTTATGAAAGAATTTTGATAAAGTAAAGATTGTAAAGAAACATTGATAGAGAGGGTAAGATTGGAAAAGAAGATAAATATAATTATAATCTTATATTTATATGTTTTTTTTTATCCAATACAAATTAAACAATAAATAAGGATATAATTTATCATACTAATTCAATTAGATAGTGAATACTACACTAATTTAATGAGATTATTAATATCTTTTCTATTAACCTTCGGAATCAAATATGACCATAGAACATAAAAACTAGATTAAAAAAAAAGGTATTAATTAAAATCTTCCCAACGAAGAGAAAGGGTCTGACCTGGGAAACAAAATAGAGAGAAAAGTCCTTGGGATAAATTAATTGATCATGATGTGGATGTGGAGAGAGAGAGGGAAATTCAGAAATTTAAAATTGAAATTTCTGAAGTTGGCTGTTTGGTGAGAAGACAAAGCAGAGCAGAGCAGGACTAAGAAAAGATTAGTGAGGTACCTAACCAACTTACCAGTTTGAAAATAGCTATCTGAGGGATTGAAAGTTAGCTGAGGCCCGGACAGATGATTTTTCTAAATTTTCCACTTCTTCCTGATTGAAAGCACCACGGACGGCCCTTGTCACCGCTCTCTATCTCTCTCTCTCTCTCAGTATGCTTCTCTCTCTCTCCCTCTCCATACATATACACACATCCCCTCCGAATGAGACAAGTACCAACTGTTCTAGTCTTCTAGATATATGTATAATAATGAGTTACTTTGTTTCCATGGAACATCTTTATAATTGCTTCGCAATTGCTTCGCTAAAAAATAGATGAAAAATATATTACAAATATGATTATTATTTTATGCAAAAAAAAAATCAAAGATTATAAAAATTCGTATTTGGAACATATATGATTACATCTCTTTTAGATATTATAGAATTTTTCATTAAAAGCAAAAAACAAAAAAACTAAAGAATAAACAATCTATTCTATTTAATACTATTTTGTTTATTTATTTTAATGAAAGCCAGGGTAATGCTGATATAGCATCTTCCTAGTACTCACGAATGAGAAATAAGTGAAATATACAATCGCCATTAAAGCAATAGTGCATAAAGACAGGGAGTAGTTCAGTCTCTTTCTATTAAAATTTAAAGAGCGACTACTGAGTAGTGACCCAAAAATATTTTAAGTTAGCATGGTTAGAAAGTAATGTTTAAATAATTGTTTTGCAACAAAAAAGCCTTAGCAATTGACTAATGAATATAACAATAAGAAAAACCAGACGGTTGGATTGACTAATTGTGTTGCACCAGCTGTATTAGTCTAAGCTTTTGTAGTGAAATATGTATATATATCAGTCATGCTGTAGAGCTCTAATTAGAGCTGCTACAGTGCAGCTCTAATGAGCTGACCACCCATTAAAAAAAAAAAAAAAACAGTGAAGTAAAAGACAAAAAATGGAGAAGAAAAAGACAAATTAGTGCTCTGTTAGAGGTCTATTTTTAGAGGTGTAAATCATTTTTGTATATATATATATATATTAGTTATAGCTTCCACCCAAATATTTTTAGAATTATTCATCAAATTGTTAAGCTATCACCCTTGTGGGATCTGCACAGTGACTCTAAGAAATCAAAAGAGACTCGATGAGTCAAGCTTAAAAATTGAAGTTCAAATCTTCTCAAACACCAATTAATTTTTAGAGAAATGATTGAAGCTTAAAGACGCAAAGATCTTTACAAATATAAACTCCTTTTTATATTTAGATTGTGTTTGATAGCATTTTTATTTTCTCTCTTTGGTTTTTGTTTTCAAAATTTAAAATAAAACATGCTTTTGATAATTGTTTTCATTTTCAAAAAAATAGCTATGGACTCTTTCATCTCTAAAAAAACTTGTTTCCTTGCATTATAATCAATAATATTTCTCTTGGCACTTTTTTGATTGTGAAAATGTGTTTTTTTGTAAGATAGTGTAAAGACCTTGTGTAAATATTAATGGTTGCTTTAAATTACTAATTATAATTTTGTATGAGATTATTTGCAACTTAAGATGAAATTCTTTCAAATAATTAATAGAGGTTCCAATGCTCTAGTCCAATGACATTTCTTCAACACTCTTGGATGAGAGGTTTGGGAGTTCAAACATCATTATGGATTCGCCCACTCCCGCTTAGGTCTGCAGATAAAACCAAATTACTCGAGTTTTATCTGCTCATCACATAATTATTAATTAGCAAGTCAAATTTAAACACATTTTACACATCATTAAACTTTTAAGTCAAATTTAAACAACCAACTACTTGGCTCGATAGGCGTATATGCACTATAAAACCAAACTACTTGAGTTCGAGTTGTGTTTAACTCATTAAAAATTCATTCAAGATTGATGCCTTATATAAACAAATCACGTTTTGAATATATTTTGAGACTTGTTACATTTTCAAGTCAAATTTAAATTTATTGTTCAACTCAATTGGACTCATTTACTCCTGCTACTTAGCTACCCTTCTTTCCCATCTATTTAAGAATAGACTACATATATATTGAATTTTTGAGTAGTAAAAAATTAATAGACTTAGCGGTTAAGGCAAATAGTGGACCCAACTGCATGCATTTCCTAAAAAGAGATGGGAAATTATTCAATATTCTTACAATATTACGTGTCTGTACTCCTTAACTAATCATTATTCAATATGCCCTCTCATATTTTCCAATCACCCAACACAATACTTCATCTATCCATTTTTTTCACCAATCATAATACTATGAAATACCACGTGTCCATACTCCGAAATTATTGAATAATTAGCCGAAAGAGACATGCATCTTTGACACATAATCCCACGATGCACGTAATGTTGATAGAGCAACTTTGTGTTTTCTTCTTTTGTTAATTCTGAAGATTCAGTATACTAACAAAATTGGTTTAGTTTGGTTTGGTTCGATTCAGTTATTTTAGTATGAGAAATTTTGATTTTTCCTTCATCTACAATAATATTTAGATTATTAGATCATTAAATATGGATTAGGTGCATCTTTTGTGTAAATTTGAGGCAAAAGTCAGTGGAGTGTATGTAAGCATGATTCAAAAGGTTTGTAAACAATATTGAAAGGTGGCTATCATATGAAATATGATAATGCAACAATAACTCAAAGGAAAGGGGAATATCTGCGATCTGGCAAGCAACAATGGCATTCGCTTTTCATAAAATTTGATTGCATAAACACGTGACTTATCCAGCTACAAGTTAGGAAGGATATATATAGCTAAATAGGGGTGTGGTTGCACGAGAATTATATCACACCTTCATCCTCTGTGTAATGTATTCACATTTGAGTAACTAGCTTCTAGTCTGCTTTTGCCTGTGCCGGTGTCGGGAAAAATTAGTAATACTACAAATCTGAAAATGTTATGCAGAAAATTATTTAGAAATATCAATAAGTGGTTTATATTCATTCCACACATCATCCCCGCAATACACCCACTCAATCTCCACTAAACATTTCAATTCTTCGCACAAACATATTGGGGGAAATTTTCTAAGATGACTGTGGCATGAACATTATTTTCTTGTGGGAACACAATAGGTTAGAGTTACTCTGCTCATGGTTATCAGGTTGCGGGTGCTAGAGATGGGAGATTGTAGATCATGAGTGCTATTTTATGGGGTTAATTATAAAAACCTGTCTTTGTCCACTCTCCTCCTCTTAAATTCAGTCATGTGTTATCATTTAAAAGACATTTTCAATGGAATATCTTATTGGAAATAGCCTAGTCATTATTCTAACATTTGGTAAAAAATTTAGTAGAAATTTTAGAATATCTAGCATTACTCTTTTAATATTTTTTCTTTGACCTATAATTGCTCAATTAGACTTTCTCATCTTATTAATAAGGCTTTTGTTTTGATCCAATTTATCCTATTTTATAGCCCTATACTAGATGTATATTTTTTCCCACTACAAGGAGTACATGTAAACACGATATATTAAATTCCTGTGCCCCATCCCATTTGGACACGCTAGCCATCTAAAAACTACACGTTGAACATCAAAGGTGTTACCTTTGTCAAACCACAACCCCAATTAATGCACTCGCATTTGAAATTACTGTTGCTTGTTAGACTTGATTTACTTGCTTAGTTAGTTCTCTACAGAACCAAAAATTACATATAAAATAATAATTACCTTCTATACAGACTATTAGTACTGTTTGATTTCTCCATTAGGTGGCTATAAAAACGTCATTGATATCTTCACTTGTGTTTTGTGTGGTGGGGAGCGTGAGAGAGAGAGAGAGAGTGAGAGATAGAGAGAGATGGGGAGGAGTCCATGCTGCTCCAAGGAAGGACTGAACAGAGGAGCATGGACTGCTCTAGAAGATAGAATACTTGCAGCTTATATTAAAGCTCATGGAGAAGGCAAATGGAGAAACCTCCCAAAGAGAGCTGGTACCCTTTTTTTTCTTTTTTCTTTTTCTCTCTGTGTTTTCTTCTACTCATTCTTCAATTATTGTTTCACTTAGATCTCTACTTTTGCTCTGTTTTCTTTCTTTCTTTCCTTTTTTTTTTTTTTTTTTTTTTTTTTTTTTTTTTTTTTTTGATCTTCATAAATGCAGGTTTGAAGCGATGTGGTAAGAGTTGCAGGCTTAGATGGTTGAATTATCTTAGACCAGACATCAAAAGAGGTAACATATCCCATGATGAGGAAGAACTCATCATTAGACTCCATAAGCTTCTTGGCAACAGGTTCTTTCTCTCTCTATCACTCGAATAATCCATTCTCAGTTAGATTAGAGCTGTTTTTTTTTTAATAATAATAATAATTATTATAATGTTAATTAATTTGGGTATGCAGATGGTCTTTAATAGCTGGAAGGCTTCCGGGCCGAACAGACAATGAAATCAAAAACTATTGGAACACTACTTTGGGAAAGAAAGTGAAAGTTGGAGTTGGAGTTGGAGCAGGAACTGCTGACTCCTCTCCTCCAGAATCACCACAGAGTCCGACCGCAGTCAAGAAGAATAAATCTAATTCTAAAGCAAAAAGGCCAGCCACTGTCACTGATCGTAACCCCAAGAGCTCCTCGTCCTCCCAACCAAGGCTTGAAACCTCACCACCACCACCTGCTGCTATCCGAACCAAGGCTTTGAGATGCACCGCAGTTGTGGCCCCAGCAACTGACAGTAGTAGTCTCTTTATCAACAACCCAACAACAATTGAAAATCAAAGCCACTCCTCCAACTCCATAATATCAAAACCTCAGCCAGAAATGCAATATTGCACTACTACTCAACACCTCAAATATTCTCATGGCAAACAAGTACAAGAAGAAGAAATGGAAGAAGAAGAAGAAGAAGAACCATTCAAATTTGGCTGTCATGACTTTGAACTCCACAATTATGACGATACCTTGTTCAAGGACTGGACGCCTTGTGAGTTTCTTCATCATGACAATGCCACCATAGATCTTGGATATTTGGCATCCTTTCTTGATTCTGAGGACTGGCCATGACAAAGCTACAAATTGCTAACTAATTCCTAAATGAAATTGTGTAGTATCTAAGCATGAGTATTTAAAAAGTTAATAAAAAGTAAACTGTGTGTGGGGACCATACTTATTTTAGCATGTTCATTTTGAGTTATAACACTTTGTTTGGTTCTACTTATCTAAATTCAATTTTTTGATAATTGAATTTTTTTATTATCGTATTTTTTTAGTGATTTTTTTTAATACTTTGAGCAATTTTTTTTTATATGTACCTAAAAAATAAAATATTTATAAAACAATATTTAAAATTTTTTTAAAAAAATTTACTAACAACAAAAAGATACGAAAAATAAAAAATCCAATTTAAAAAAAATTAAAGTTAGGAAATTGGAAACAAATTTAAATAATTTTTTGAAATAATTTTTCTCACTTTCTAGCTTAACACATATTTTTCTTAAGGCAATTTTCAAGCGTGCAAGTCCATACCATATGCATGCAATGCACTTACCTAAGTCATAAATATACGTAAGTTATTTTACAAATCACTTAAAATTTTACAAACATACGTGAGTTAACTCATAAAAATTTGAAAAATCACAATTTGCATATATTTGTGATAACTTACGTGATTTTGTGAGGTAACTTATGTATATTTGTGAGAACTTATGCAAATATATATGATATGTACCTTACACATCCAAATACTTCCTTTTTTTCTTATAATAAATATAGCAGTCTACTTGTATTTCTACACCTTGATGATAAATGTTTTTGTTTCATTCTTGAAAGTTACCTGTTTGTCTGTACTTATCACTATTCAGATTTATTCGCATGGAATGGTAGACAACATCAATCAGTAATAGTCTCTATTATGAATTTGGTAATGTGTTCTGTTACAAAAGTTAATTTAAAAAATCGTTAGAAAATAAAAATGTACAAAAATATGGTTTTGTTGGCTTTTGGACTTTCGAAGGTTATTATTGTAATTACAAGCGTGCCAGCAAGGATCAATCAGTCCTTACAGAAATTTAATTGCCAACCAATTATCAGACGATTGTGTTTTAGTTCTCTCAACCTCAATGAAAAGGACTTTTACCGGTGGCTTGAATTAGGAGAATTAAACAAAATACCAATCAAATAAAGAACAACTGAAGCATTTCATTAGAATGAAAAAACTTACAATGATTCAAACTCAGTCTCGTAGAGGTTTACAGCGACAATCTACTTGAAACTACTCCTATGAATGAAATGCAGTACAGAATTTAAAGTACTAGAATGTAAAGAACAGGACATGCAAAACTAAGTAAAGTAGAATAAGACTGGTTTTCTGGATCTGAGTCTAGGAGTCCTTTTCTGGGGCCTTCTCTGCTATTTATACTGCTTAATGATGACCATCGAACTGTATTTCTAACCGTCGAACTGCTCCTCCATGGTCGCTGATCATGTTGCCTCAAGGTTAGCTCCATTACGCCATCACTTACAGTTAGGTTTCCCTCTTGAACTTGAATTCAAATGTGAGTAACCGATGATGCCACATCACTTTGTATCTCTCTGCTGATCCACTGCTACTCAGATCTCGTAACAACCAATATTAACTGACACGTGTACGATCAAGATCGAAGATTTGAATAGTCTTCCCGTACTACCCTTACTTTGCCACGCGTCAAATTGTAATTGACTTGTACAAAATATGTAGCCAACATTACCCCCCGCACTAATATACCCAATACTTGGTGATATTAGTGGATCAAGGTCTTTTTCCCACGTCTTAGAACGTGCATGGGTTTTGTATTTTCCCAAAAATGCAACTGTCATTTATCTGCATTAAACTCTCTTTCAATTTTTTGAGCCCCCCACCACCTTAGCATTCGAACAGACTGATACATTTTATGGCCGAATCAATTTTCTCCTCCAATGATCAAACACACGAAGAGTCATATGACGATGTTATTCCTCCTCGAAAGAACCTCCACGCATTAATTAGCCACCTTTACCCACCTTTCTATATTCAAGTCATGGATGCCTTTGCAAATTATCAACCATTGGACTTCGAACATATTGCCCTTAATCCTTTGATTCAAAAACTCACAAATATGGACATGGGAAGTTCTTCTTCTGACTCACCCTTGGACTACGAACAAACTGCTCTCAATCCTTTGATTCAGAAAGTTGCAAATATGGACATGGAAAATTCTTCTTCACAACTCTCTACATGGGACAAGGTTGTGACTTCTTCCTCTTCTGGTGCTTCCGACTGGACAAGCTGGTCAAAACTTGAGGCTTGTGATTTGAGGGAACGAATCATTTGAAGGAACGAATCAACCATCACTTTGTCGAATTTACTGACCCTTTAGAGTTTCCTTCTTATGCACGAAGCTCGGTGGTCTATCCATACGTGCCCATTGACCATCGACGCAGTTTGGAGGAGTATTTGCTTGTAGCATGGTATACATCCTCCATACCTACAAAGATAGTGCACGCCACCCGACGCTTAGAAGAGGCACAAGGGTACAATCCATCATTCTTAGCCCAGAAGGCAAAGATTTGTTCTTCTGACTAGCTCGATTATATTAATGCCCTTGTTCCTTCTGCCCTTATTCCATCTCCTAAAATAGAAGCATCCATACCTTCCCCTCCGTTAAATCCTTGCTGGACAGAGAGATTGAGGCTTGTCCTTTCCGCGGATAAGATCTTTCCACCCTACAAGCCTCCCCCTTTCCCTACTCCATACTCCAGCTGAGCGGAAGCAAGCTCAACTTCTGCTCGCGGCTTTTTCTCACTTGCCATTCAATGTTCTTGAGGATGAAGTCCCTTTCAAGAACCTTCGATGGGCTTGTGATATTCTGACTCAGGGTCATGTTCTCAATCCCCTCGCCCAAGCAGAGCTTCACATGTTTTTGGACCAACTTCCATTGCTTCTCCACTGACATCGGACCTCTATGGCCACCACACAATCTTTAGACCAACTTTCGTCCCTTCGAATTCATGCCCAGTACGAAGCTGAGAACTTCATTGAAGAATTCGATGATTTCAAGAACAAAGATTCTGCGTACTGGGATGACTTAGAGATAGACGAATTGGAACAAGGATTGAGAGAAACAGTATTCGAAATAAAGGCTGAAGAGCTCTTTTACAAAATGAGAGCACATTAACTCATGCAGCCAATGTTAGAAGAAATAGAGGATAGAATAAAGAAAAAACAGAAATTCATTGATCATTGTTGGACTAAATTTTATGATCTTGTCATTTATTCCATTCCTTATTTTTATGAGCTTGAGTTTGTACCCAAATAGGGTCATTCGATGTAATTGCTTTGGTTGTTAATACCACTAGGACTTTTTCTTTGTTTGGTATGGTTTGATCTTATCTCCATTTGTCTTTTAAAAGAAAATTCAGAGCTTCGAACTAAACAAGCTTATCCTTCGAACTTGGACTCGATTGTTTTAAATGAAACACTAAAAGAACCAACAATGAACCTGTCCAATTTATGGAATATAGTTAACAATTTTTGTTGATTTTATTTAAAATTGGTGCTTCGAATTTAACAATCTTACTCCTTAAAGCTTGTTTCGATCATAACCAACATATGGTCATGGTCAGTATGATCAATCAGTTTTAAACTGACCATTTTTCCTTAGAATAACAGTTTCAAAAAATATGAAAGCTCCTTTTTAGGACTGCACTGTTTTAGTCTAGAAAGAAAATCTTTCTTAAATACAAACCAATTATTGGTTTCGATGTTTCGAACAGCAATTCCCACCCTTAAGGGATCTCAAGTCTTGCTTCGAATGACATTACTTTCCTTGAAAAACCTAAAACAGGTCTTTAATTTCTTCGAAGTAAACTAATACTTGAGCACTCTTTTATCCATAAGTATGAAATGTACTTCGAAGCTGGTTTTTTAGCTTCGAAGTCATTTGTTATTTGACTTTTGGCGCCAAAATTTGGTTTCGAAGCCAAATACTTATTTCAAAGCTGGCTTCAACATCTGGGATGTGTTTTTCCCTCCAAAAGTATCAGTATTGGAGGAAGCTTAGTGCTTAACGAATTATGCGACATGTCTTCCAGACACAAAAGTTTTTTTTTTTTCCTTTTAAAAACCCTTTTTATTTCGTGCTCTGAAATCATTCGCTCACTCAATACACAAACCCTTTACCTCTACCGATCTTCCACTTCTCTCTGTTTCCCTTTTCAGCTTCATCCTCCGAAAAAGTGTTCTATCAATGGCTTCCTCTTCATTGAAAGTGCCAGTCATAGAGCGTACGAGCCCATCTGTAACCCTGAAAAGGATCATCGATGTTGAATGTGAGAAGTACAAGGCTGGGGAGAAAAGTGCCATCGATGGACGCATCTTCATCCCTCGTCGTCATGAGCAACAAGACTATGTGCTTGGGCCAATATTCAAGAAGATCCTTACTAAGCTTTCAGCTCTATATCCTCGTCTAGAAGACCATTGTCTTCTTTACGAAGGTGGCCTTGACTGGAGGAACTGGAAGACGAATCGCCCCACCGATGTTGGCCCACAGTGAGACCAGAGTGGCAAGAATGGTATGATCGAGTTGTCTCTAATAGGACTCTGAACCTTCAAGAACTCTGCCTTCTAGATGCCCTCCGATTATCCAGGTTAACTATTCTTGAAGACCCTTTCTTGATTCCTGCTACTCTGTGCTTTTGGAACTCTGTTTTTAATTTCTTCCAATTTAGATGTGGGATGATGGCCCCTACTGTCCTTGACATTTGCCATCTTTTAGGATTATCTCTCATTGGATCCCCCATTGGACCGGATTATCTTGACCTAGCAGTCCCCTTTTCCCTTCCTTCTTTTAACTCATCCTATAGTGACTTTGTCAAGGCTGAGAATAGAAGAGAGG